AGAATTGCAATTCTAATGTGCGGTGTAGAGTAGTTGTACGGTACGCTTGCACACTCCGCTGTTTCACAACGCCTAATCGAGCTGTCTGCTACCCTCCTACTTCTCCATACTCTCTACTTCCGATCGCTGGTGTACGCTGGTGGACGCTGGTAGACGGGCAGACGCTAGATCGATACCCATACTTCCCTAGCCCTCGAGACGCTGGTGGACGCTAGCAGACGCTGGCAGACGCTAGAGATCGATATCTATACTTTCCTAGTCGCTGACGCTGCCGGACGCTCGGAACGCTAGTGGACGGTGGTAGACGCTGGTGGACGCTGCCGCGAAGTATGAACGCAGCCTCTCTTTTCGTTCTTTCACGACAATAGCAGCATTTTTTGGGAGAAATACTTTTCCATTTGCGAGCCAATTTTGTTCAAGCCAAGCCTGATAGCTGTGCGAGCAACTAATGAAAAGCGGAAAAAAACGAGCAACGAAGGCTGAAGAGAGCGGGAGCCCGGAGAGGTGTCTCGTTGGTGTTGGCGGCCTCATTATTCTCATTGTTGTGTCGTGTTTAGTGCTCGGTCCCGAAGGCTGCAACCTATTCATCTACCATCTGCCTCAAGAGTTCGGCGATGCCGAACTCATACAGATGTTCGCGCCATTCGGCAATGTGATTTCGGCCAAGGTATTTGTGGACCGAGCCACCAACCAGAGCAAATGCTTCGGTAGGTACGCGGGGTTAGTGCGCTCATGAGTAGGGTGGTTAGCTCTTGGAATGGGGCGGTCGTTTTCGCACACGCTTCACATACTCGATTAGATTCAAGCTGCACCACTTCCGACTTCCGACTTGGGGCACTTACCTTCCTGCACCCTCCTGTTCGCACGAAACTCAGCAAGTTATTTTTGAGTAGCTAGGGAGGATTCTGCTGCAGGAATTTTTCGTTACGAATCCCAGTTCGGAACCAGGGAGCCGGGAGACGTAGGGTGGGGCTTCCGAGCAATAGGAGGCAGCCGCATTTGAGAAAGATGAGGCCTGCGACCATCCAAGAGCATCAACCCTCATGAGCAGATTTCCATACTTGTACTGAGTAGAGAGGAGCACCTCACAGTCCTCATCTAGAGCTGCAAAAGGAGCGCTCTTATAATCCATTTTGCTTCCTCTCTTAGCCAAGTATGGAAATGTCGCAAGGCAATGGGCCTCCTTTCGAAACGGGCTTGATATGGCACCTCTCTGCACAGCCGAGGGCCCGCAGTGAGCATTGCCGTCACAAATCCGCCTAAGGAAGGCCCATGGTCGACGACGATGGCCGCCATGTGGCTGTGGAAAGTAGCCGCGCGTTGTCGCTCACACTGGCACGCACATGCGAGCGTTGGCGACAACGCGCGACAAGGAGCGCAAGCGCGCGATGTTGAATGTCGTTGATATTTGCACGTTGAGTGTCGTCGAGTTCGTTACAGGATTCGTGTCGTACGATTCGTTGGCGGCTTCACAGGCCGCAATTGCGGCGATGAACGGCTTCCAGATCGGCATGAAACGCCTCAAGGTTCAATTGAAACGACCGCGTCACGATCGTCCATACTAGCCATGGCAGCGGCGCCACTGCCACGCCCACACAGTGGCGACAGTGTGCGACAGCAAGAGTGCATGTTGTGCTACACTTTCACCGCCATCACCGTCCCTATCCCCGTCCGTGCCTTCTTTCTTTGTTCTTTTCTTTATTTTTTTTAAATTTCCAGTATTAATGGTTAGCTTTTTTGAGTTGTTTTTTGTAGAACGTGAGTGCTGGGATCTTTTTGGGATTTTTGGTGGGAGAATCTTTCGCCATGTTGACAGATAGTCAATTTCCTGTTCTGTAATGTGGTTGTTCAAAGTTGTCCGCTTCTCTCAAGCCGAAATCAATTATCGATCGAAATTGATCTTGCCTTAAACTCATGAAATATGCCGACAATCTTTCTAGAGGGAGGGGTTAAAGAGTCATTTTCAAGGCCCTTGCCCACAAAAATACCCTTTAACTTTTCAATTTTCTTATTTATTCAAGTTTTTCGCCTGATAACTAAAAAATTTTCAATTTCAGGTGATTTTGTCCGCAGACCCCCTCCGTTTATACTTCGTCCCTATTAAGATCTCTATATATACGAACACACGGCCATCTAGTACTGACTGATCTGCTCGACTTTCATTTCAACGAATGCCCAGCTGCTTTTTCTCTAATTCTTTCTTTATTGATGAAATTCTTAATTTATGCGAATTTTTGTTGTGCAATTTT